GTTTGTAGGAATAAATGTCAATTTGTTCTATGTTAGTATGAATTAATGTTGCCTTCTCCACGTTGTATAATGTCAATTTCTCCTTAATGTGAATAAGGTGTGTTTCTCTTTGTTAATCAGACCCCTTTCAATAAATACATATCATTTAAGTTTACCAGAAAGGCCCCTATCAAAATATATAGACAGAGGATTTTAAAGTTGTTTTTTTTTTTTTTTTTTTTTATATAAATACAGAATTTATTTTCATTTAGTGGTATGAAAATAAATGTTTCATACCACAAGATGAAATAACTTGAATTTTCTATTTTATAATATTATAAATATTTTTCTCTTTTCTGACATTACAATTTGAAAGACGTCCCTTTGAATTTTGTGTATTGGCTGAATTTAGAAGAAAATGGTCCGACACAACACCGGTCAAAATATGGAAAATATATTTCACTGCAGCAAAAGATATATTTACAGTGACAGTACGGGAAATGAAAATATGCATTTTATTTCAGCAACATTAATTTCTCAACATTTCTTTTTAATTATAGTTTGTAACTAGAACTATCGCTGAATGTGATTCATATCCCCACCAATGGATTTGACAGAAGACAACTTGGAAATGTGGTTAAGGGAATAACTTAACTGGCACAAATACATAAAAAGAAATTATCTCTGGTGAAAAAAAGACAAAAATTGTACAGGTAATAGTTAAAATATCTATTATCAAATCATGTTTGAAACGGTTACAAATAACCTTTCATTTTCCCAATATACTAAACTTTTTATAAGTCAATTTTTGACCTTCAAGTGTGGCCTTGACCTTCAGCTGGCACAAGGGTAAGATGGATTCTGCACATCGCCCAATTGGAGTGAACATTTGAGTAAAGTTTGAAGAAAATCCTTCCATTAGTATAGAATTTATAGAGCGGACACAACATATTGTCTAGTATTGATTATATGTAAATTTAAAGACTTAAAAAGGGGCATAACTTTGTCAAAATCCAATACAGAGTTATGAAACTTGACCTGCATATCGTAATTGTGACACCTCATATATCTTTTTAGTTTCAAGCAAATACCTATGCTAGTTTCCGAAATATTCAAGAACATGTTTTAATCTAAGAACGTTTTCTAAGTCAATTTTTGACCTTCAAGTCTGACCTAGACCTTTAGCCTGCACAAAGGTGACATGGATTCTGCACATAACCTTGCTTAGGTGAACATTTGAGAAAAGTTTGAAGAAAATTCTTCCATTAGTATAGGATTTATAGAGTGGACACAACATATCGTCTAATATGTGATTGAATGTAAATTTGAAGATTAACAAGAGCTGTCGGTAGGACAGCAACGCTCGACTATTCTTAGTGCTTGATAGTAAAAAAAATGCCTGATACAGTTACCTCCTCCTGTTTACAGGTTGGGGTCATGATGGTGAACAAGTGTGCAAAGTTTCAAAGCCATATGTCAATGGACTTTGAAAATATTTGAACTATTACAAAAACTTTAACGTAAATTCTAAGTCGAAAAAGGGGCATAATTCTGTCAAAATGCTTGATAGAGTTACCTCCTCCTGTTTACAGGTTGGGGTCATAATGTTGAACAAGTGTGCAAAGTTTCAAAGCCATATGTCAATGGACTTTGAAAATATTTGAACTATTACAAAAACTTTAACGTAAATTCTAAGTCGAAAAAGGGGCATAATTCTGTCAAAATGCTTGATAGAGTTACCTCCTCCTGTTTACAGGTTGGGGTTATAATGTTGAACAAGTGTGCAAAGTTTCAAAGCCATATGTCAATGGACTTTGAAAATATTTGAACTATTACAAAAACTTTAACGTAAATTCTAAGTCGAAAAAGGGGCATAATTCAGTCAAAATGCTTAATAGAGTTACGTCCTCCTGTCTACAGGTTGGGGTCATGATGGTGAACAAGTGTGCAAAGTTTCAAAGCAATATGTCTATGGACTTTCAAAATATTTGAACTATTACAAAAACTTTAACGTAAATTCTAAGTCGAAAAAGGGGCATAATTCTGTCAAAATGCTTGATAGAGTTACGTCCTCCTGTCTACAGGTTGGGGTCATGATGGTGAACAAGTGTGCAAAGTTTCAAAGCCATATGTCAATGGACTTTGAAAATATTTGAACTATTACAAAAACTTTAACGTAAATTCTAAGTCGAAAAAGGGGCATAATTCTGTCAAAATGCTTGATAGAGTTACGTCCTCCTGTCTACAGGTTGGGGTCATGATGGTAAAGAAGTGTGCAAAGTTTCAAAGCTAAATGTCAATGGACTTTGAAAAAATTTGAACTATTACAAAAACTTTAACGTAAATTCTAAGTCGAAAAAGGGGCATAATTCTGTCAAAATGCTTGATAGAGTTACCTCCTCCTGTCTACAGGTTGGGGTCATGATGGTGAACAAGTGTGCAAAGTTTCAAAGCCATATGTCAATGGACTTTGAAAATATTTGAACTATTACAAAAACTTTAACATAAGTGGTTACGCCGACGCTCGGGTGACTGCAATAGCTCTACTTATTCTTATCGAATAGTCGAGCTAAAAAGGGGCATAACTTTGTTAAAATGCAATACAGAGTTATGAAACTTGACCAGCATATCTTAATTGTGACACTTCATTCATATTTTAAGTTTCAAGCAAATACCTTTTCTAGATTCAGAAATATTCAGATATATGTTAAAATTAAAGAACATTTTCTAAGTCAATTTTTGACCTTCAAGTGTGACCTTGACCTTAAGCCGGCAAAAGAGTGACATGGGTTCTGCACATAACCTTGTTGAGGTGAACATTTGAGCCAAGTTTGAAGAAAATCTTTCAATAAGTGTAGGACTTACAGAGCGGACACGACATACTGTGTAATATTTGATTGTTTGATATTTGACCTTCAATTGTGACCTTGACCTTGAGCTGACACATGGGCAACATGGGTTCTGCACATCCCATTGTTGAAATGAACATTTGAGCCAAGTTTGAAGAAAATCTTTCAATTAGTGTAGGACTTACAGAGCGGACACGACATACTGTGTAATATTTGATTGTTTGATATTTGACCTTCAATTGTGACCTTGACCTTGAGCTGACACATGGGCAACATGGGTTCTGCACATCCCATTGTTGAAATGAACATTTGAGCCAAGTTTGAAGAAAATCTTTCAATTAGTGTAGGACTTACAGAGCGGACACGACATACTGTCTAATATATGATTGTGTTTGATATTTGACCTTCAATTGTGACCTTGACCTTGAGCTGACACATGGGCAACATGGGTTCTGCACATCCCCTTGCTGAGGTGAACATTTAAGCCAAGTTTGAAGAAAATCCTTCAAGTGGTATAGGAGTTATAGAGCGGACACGAAAATGGAGACGGACGGACCGACGGACCGACGCGACAAAGCGAATCCATTATAGCCCCCCCCCACATTTTGTGGTGGGGGTATAATAAATACATGTTTATAATATTTTCTTGTCTGGCTAAGCAAAATTGTCTCAATGCAATAAATTATAAAACATATAGTATAAATGACACATCATTTTACACTATTTGACATAAAATGGTAATGGAGACAGTGAAATACTATGTTTTGTGGTTTCATGCAATCTGTATAAATGTCTAATGTGACACCATATTAACTACCAGTATATAACAAACATACCATACTAGTACACAGGGGGAAAAAAACTGTACAGTAGCTTTGTTTGTTTGTTCTCGGCTAAATACCTGTTTTTTTGTTTGTTTTATAAGCAATACCGGAGTCATATACTCATAGGCTATTTACCTGTAACCACTTGATCTTTGGGATTTATTCCCTACTTAACTTTCCAAGATGTTGATTTTTATCATATATCATTGTATGATATAATACAATATTATTACATTTTCAACATTTTATTTGTTTTACAATTTACTTTACTGACTTAATATTTCATGTTTTTATATTATAAAGTTGTAAAGCCTGAACCCATTCCAGCTTTTATGATTGAGAAAGACCGGAGGTGACCTTCTGTACCTTATTTCAGGTACAACCTGAGTAGAACCCCCAATATTCCGTAAGCTAACTGGATAGCTTTCTCATGTAAAAGAGTCCAAGTTGCCACCAGGGCTTGAACCTACATCAGTGAGTGGAAAGAGGTTTGAAGTCAACAACCTTAACCACTCGACCAAAGACATGCACTTTCCATGGGTTAAGAAAGTGTTTTTCAAGATAATTTACTTCTGGTTAAACATGTACACAAAAATAATATAATTGAGCAGCATAATATTTAGTGACTTGTTTACCATAATGTATAGTTTTGAGATTTGTTTACCATTATTTTAAGCTATTTATAGCTATTGTAACAAATTGAAAAACATGTTTGTTGAAAACAATTATATATGAATAAAATTTGCATAATTGATGGTTACTAAAAGGGAAATAATTATGGTAATTTTGTCACTGTAACCAGTTGTGATATTCCTTCATACCTACTGAAACACAAAGTTCATATATTGAAGAAAATTTCGTCAACTTAACCTTAAAATTATTAGGCTTTTGATTCTACTAGTCTGGCATTTTGATCAGAATTAATACTAAGTAATCAAAAAAAGGATGTAGAACAACACGTCAGGAACACCAGAGTGAGTTTACGTAAATTTATTTATCTACCGGTTTCGGTCATATAATGACCTTCATCAGGATAATGAATTAGAATTAATACTGTAAACTGTTTTAAGTCCATGTGTACTGTTTAAAACTTGCAGAAGAACTGTGAATTGTACAAAAATAGCAGGTTATTGGTTAATATTGGATTGTTTCCCTTTGTGTGATTGCCTCCCTTTGATTCATTTTGGAATAAAAGTTTAAGGATTACCTCCTTTTTATAGAAGTTTAAGGATTACCTCCCTTCTAAAGAAGTTTAAGGATTACCTCCCTTCTATAAAAATTTAAGGATTACCTCCCTTCTATAGATTTAGGATTACCTCCCTTCGATAGAAGTTTAAGTATATCTTACCCAGTGTCTAATGTCTCCTCTTCTACTAAAACACCATCAGTCGACTCGTTGACACGTAAAAACACATATTTGTCCAAATTTGGCCTTGATGCTGCAATGAAAAGAGAAAAAAGATCTAGATTAGGTACAGACTTACTGCATTGGAGTCAAACTAGGTTTGAACCCAGGATTCCTGGACTTGAATGGAATACACTTGAACCACTCCTACAATTTGCAAACACAATGTTCTGATTCTATTTTGTATCTATGACAGTAATACTAAGTTGAAACCATAAAATATCAACCAGTAATCAATAAACTAGTAGAGAAAGGTTTCACTCGTTTAAATATTGTCTTTAATATGCGATGCGAACGATGCGAACGTGACATGTTGAAACAAATAACAAAACAAAATAGTCAGCAAGATTGATTTAACAGTGCACATGTTTCTGACAAATAATGAACTTTAAAGGTAATTTGAACTTGACATACGACCAGCAGTAATGTACTTGTGGCTTAAATTGACAAAAGTGGCCATGAAATTTTAGCATTTGAATTCTTAACATGCTAAATATCTTAAATGAACTTGTCCATCATTCAGCATGGGCTAAAGAATTCATCGTTTTGGCGGTTATTTTTAAACTATGTACTAACTGACTAGTGTATAGTTCAATTAAGCAACATGGATGTTCCGGCTAACCTTGGGTCTGCACTGGTCGTGTCAATTGGCATAATCTGTTGGGGTCAAAGGCTAAGGGTTTATATTCAATCCATTTCAGAAACAAACAAAAGTTTCAAAAGTCCATTATATTATAAAAATTTGAACTTTTTTCTTACCAATTTTGTATGGCTCACCTTATTCCTTTTACGTTAATTAAACTTTACTCAGTTAGCTAGATTCAGATGTTGTTTCAAGTGATGAGAGACGGACATGTGGATGGATATCCAAATTTTTACTCTGTTGACTCAAAAACAGAATTTCTGCTACAGCTCAGGCAAATATTTTAAACTCAAAAATTAGAAACTTGCCTTGGACACTTGCCAAGAAAATTAACTTGCATTTTGAAAATTTTTTCGCATTATTTTTCCAAATTTTTTGAGGCATATAAAAAAGGTAAAAAGCTCAAAAAGTGGATACTTTCTTTTGCAATTAAAGGCCCTTAGCTCTGAAAATTTTCTACCCTTTTTTTTTCTCAAAAAACAAATAAAAACATAATCATTTGCCATATACATGAACTATCTTTTGCATCAGTTTCTATTGGCAATTGGTATAATTACAGATAATAAGACTTAGTATTTTGTATGGCAGTCAAAATACTACTTTGTTTACATTTACGATACATAAGTGCATAATCAGTATTGCTTTTTTTCAATTGTAAAACATCTTAATTAATCCATTACTTAAAGATTCACATGCTTGATATTTCTAAAGATTTAAGAAAATATGGATTTCTGTGGCATACTGTGCCTTTAACAAGACTTCAGTAATATTATACTGCTGTGGGGTTAAGAGTGCTCCAGATTGTGTTCCAGCAGTAACCTGTTTTAACTGCAAGCAACTGCCAAATATTCCAGAACAAAGAAACAAACAGCATCTGACATACAACAAAAATTATCACTGGGGGTGGTAAGGATGGGGGAAAGAAGTGAACAATGCAACAACCTCTACTATACTTTTAAGCAAAAAAAAAAATTGAGGTTCTCTAGGAAACATTTTACAATCTTTGTAATTTTTGCTTCTATTATTTTATTATTAGTTTTTTTCTAGTAAGAAAAACCCTTTATTGGTCCTGTTTTTATGCGAAAACCATACAATATTGCTAAGGCCCCCAAAACCTGCCTGCACACATTTCAATGTATCTAAATCAAAATATAATTATAAGAGTATGTAAAATTCTATTTTAAGAATTGATGACAATCCAAGATACCTTATATATAGAAACTCACAGTATCATTTCATAAAAAAGGTTGCTAGGAAAACTGCAGGAATGCGCCACCAAACACGGTCCTATGAAGCCGAAACTTTATGCCAAACAAAAATCACTGTCAATCAAATATTAGATGTTTGCTTACCAAATTCTCTTCCTATTCTAATGATCCATCAGGGGTCATAATTCAATATAGAGAAAATATCATGGTAACATTGACTTGCTTAAAGCATTATTTCAAGCACTCAAAAGGTCAAAACCTTCTGAAAAGGGTCCAGTAATTATTATATATATATATCATTTTTTAAGCTTGCACTAGTTGAAGTTTAGACCCCATTTGAGCAATGTGCATTATTTCAGCTAATAAATGGGGGTCACAAAGATAGATTCACAGGTCTTCCAGAAACTGAAAGGATATGACATTTTCATTTAAGCCAAGAACTTTTTTTTGCATTTTCATTAATTACTTATATGTCTCGGGATATACAAAAGGTTCAAACCATTTTCAACAGAACATGTGTAAATTTCTGATGAGATTGTGCACATGTGACTTCGCTTAATATTTAAGCGATTATTCATCTAAACCTTTGCCAAATTTTCTGGCAATATTTTTGTAGTTGATTTATAATTCTTAAATACAGATGACACTTTAACCATTAACCTGCTGTGCTGGAAACCAGGTGATAATGGTAGCCACTTTTGCCACCAGTATAAAGCCAAGCCAACCTGTGTCACATCACCAGGCTTTATATTGTTGGTAGCAAAATTGTTTATATTACATTGGTGAAAGTAATACTGAAAATTTTAGCTGGGGGCCAGGGGGCCGCAGGGTCCCCGTGGGTCCAGGGCAAAGCCCTGGCTTGGAGTCCAGGGGGCCGGATTATTCTGATACCTGAAATACCTTAAACTTCAAATGGACTGTTCCAAACTCACAGCTGGGCAAGTCTATTACATAAATTAAGCATGTTCAGGATTTAGATAAAGATAGCGAGGACAATCACATGGTGATACAGATCTAAATTGGTTAAAACAGCCACTAAGCGCAGTAAAATGTAAACTCCTATTAAAGTATATAAAGAATTAACCTGTTCTTGCACTAACGTCACAATATACTCTGCAAAGCATGTAAATTACAGTAATATTCATACACTGAATAATTTCACATCAAAATTATTATACAATGTCTATGTCTGTTTTCAAAAATTTTCTCCCATTTTCCTATGTTGTCCTTAAGGTAGTACACCCCTAATGGGCACTATAAGGAATTGTAAATTTGACAACATAGGACAGTTATATGCCTTAAATGTCACCTGTATGCAAAATTTAAACAAAATTTACCATGTAGTAAATGAGTTATAGACATTTTTATGAACTAAAACTTTGCCATTAGAAGGGATTTTTTCAGAAATGAGGAAACTCTTAATAATCTATAATATCATCATTATGAAAAATGTTTTCCCTTTGCTCATTGTTAAGAAATAAATAATGACATTTAGGTAACAAATTAAACAAGTAAAATGATTGTTTTAAAACGAAATGTTTTTAATATGTATAAAAATGTAACCCTACCCCACCCACTTTTAACACTAATTTGACCATTTCCCTATGAAAAAAGCCTTATTTAAAATATCCCTAAAATTTTCCAAAATGAGGGGCTATTTTCAAAGTTTGCCTAAATTTTCTTTAATGTATATTGGTTGGTCTTGCAAAATATAAAATACTTTTACCGTTTAGTTTTTATTTTATTAAACTTTGAAAATATCTGGTATCATATTTGCTATTAAATTTGGCATTATTTAGTAAATAAATACCTACAATAATTATATAATTAAAATAAAACACTTTTTTCTTCCATAGGGTGTCTGAGAGATTAATAAAAAATGTTAAAAAGAAAAAAAAAAAGAAAGAAAAAAAATTGCCCCTTCTGGGGTTTGAACCCACGCCCCCTCAGTTTCAATACACTTTACAGTGATTTAGCCTATTTGAATACTCTTCAAAATGGAGACAGTGCATTAGGGGTGTACTACCTTAACATTCAATTATCTCCTCTTGTTTTGATTTTTTTGTTAGTTTACCTTGACATTTCTTCTTTGTAAAAATGCTAGACAATATTCTAGACTGAAAATATTAACTAGGGTAAACTAGCTCCAACTGAAGTCCAAAAACTAAATAAAACATAAAATTTAAAGTTCAAAAAATGATCAAATGGTGCATATAAAATGGAACAAGAGCTGTCGGTAGGACAGCAACGCTCGACTATTCTTAGTGCTTGATAGTAAAAAAAATGCTTGATACAGTTACCTCCTCCTGTTTACAGGTTGGGGTGATGATGGTGAACAAGTGTGCAAAGTTTCAAAGCCATATGTCTATGGACTTTGAAAATATTTTAACTATTACAAAAACTTTAACGTAAATTCTAAGTCGAAAAAGGGGCATAATTCTGTCAAAATGCTTGATAGAGTTACCTTCTCCTGTCTACAGGTTGGGGTCATGATGGTGAACAAGTGTGCAAAGTTTCAAAGCCATATGTCTATTTGAACTATTACAAAAACTTTAACATAAGTGGTTACGCCGACGCCGACGCTCGGGTGACTGCAATAGCTCTACTTATTCTTATCGAATAGTCGAGCTAAAAAATATCCAAAAATAAAACAATGAAATACACAAGATTAAACGATTCTAATTCTAAAACATATTCAAATTAAAAGCTTTTAAAATTTTGCAATTAAGTAAAACAGCAAATGGTGGTATTTATAGTTCAAAAGAAAAAACAAATTCAAGTTCCTTTCAACCACTTTTAAAGCTCCTGCAAAACGGACACCAGAATAATGCCAGGATAGTCTGCACATCCATTAACTTTTGTATTTTATAATTGAAACCCCTTAAATTACCTATGGACTGCTCCAAATTCAAAGCAGGGCAAATCTATTACACAATTACAGCAGGGTTAGGATTTACATTAGATATTTTATACTTTGGTGACGTTCTGTCAAGTCTGAGACTACATTTGGTGGCCATCTTGAATTTTGGCTCCCAAACTGGTTTTTATCCTGGAGTATTGATTAACTAGAAATGTGTCCAAAAGACACTAATGCCCATATTTGGTCTGTCTTAAAGGACAGCCTGATAGTGCAACAGAGGCTCAATTTATATGCCCCTCTCCTTATGTAGTAAAAGCTAAAATATCAAATAATTATGTGACAGGGAAGCAGCTTATTTGTAGAAGAATTGACGCAATTTAGCCAATTTTAGCTCTCAAATACCATGATATAGCTGATTCAAAAATACCATGATATAGCTGATTCAAGGTCAGAAAATCTAACACGTAATATCCTAAATTGCTGCCTTGCACTCAATTTGAAATTCTAATGCAGAAATCAGTATTTTCTTTACACAGTGATCCAAATTTCTTGCAATGAAATAGGCATAATATATCCTTGAATTATTTTCATTGCACCAGTCTTGACATGATTAAGCGAGCCAAGAACACACGAAAAGGTATCAAGGACATATAGATGTGCCAGTAATTCAAGGTCTCAAAAAACAAAAACAACAACAAATTCAGACATGGTGTTACAAGAGCTGTTTATAGGACAGTTAGTTTGACCAATTCTGGTAACCGTTTCACACAGAATCATTCTTGACCTGGGGGTATGCACTTCAAAGACTCTCAGACAAAAACAAAAGTAGGACAGTTCTACACAGATAATTATTTTCTTTACTAAAATTAGAATTATCAATTTTTTTTTTCTTGAAATATTGTTAAAATCTACTAGCAAGGTTGTCTTGTTTACAAGGTTGTCTTTTAAACAGTTTCTGTGACAACAATAAAGCTAAGTGGCGATGTCAGAATAAAATAATAGCACCACTACCTAGATCATGTGACAGGCACAGCTTGCCATATGATAGATGGATATAAATTCTTATGTTTATATCCCATAAATCAACTTGTTTTCTTCTAATTCCAGTTTTATATCTTAAAGTTTTTGTCTCCAAATTTAGTATCAGCCTACAAACTAATTATACAAATTAAAGAACCAGTTGTAAAATGTACAATTAAAGGCAATTAAAAAAAAATTCAATGTATACATTAAATTTAAAAATAATTTTTTTGGTAGCTTTGGTTTGTTTTTTTATGTACCAACACAAAGGTCATTTATAGTCACCTTAGTGTAGTAATGGGTTAACTGCTTATATTATTAAGTAGGGAGTTACCTAATTACTGCCTATGGTGACAATATGGCAACTTCCCAGCTTAACTGGTGGAGGAAGACCTCAGATGTCACTCTGCACAAGTTAGCATTCAGACAGAATCCACATCAGTTATGGGTCTTGAATAGTGATCTCCAATAACTAAAAAGAATGTTAACCAAAACAGGCACAACATAATATTATTGTCTGGGAAAATAACTAGCTTACACATCTAGGAATTCTAACCAGACACCTACTGTTGACTGCTTAACTTGTGCATTCTTGAGTCTCAAAAAAGAATATGGTATAGACTTAATGTAACTGTTTATTAACATTAATACAAATATGTCTTTGTGAAAAACAAATGGAGAGCACAAAACAAGGGGAACAACTCCCTTACATATTATGTGAACTACAACTAAATGTTCAAAGGTTACTGAACACTAATAATTTTAGTGGCGATGGACTACAGGAAAAGCCATTTTACAAAATTTAGCATAAGGGGTTAAAATCTTCGCATACAAACCAAACATGCAAAGTTTACCTTCTTATATCAGGTAAAATTTTGACTTCAATAAAACCGAGTCTGCAGTTTTTAACTATTTTTGTTATCCATGCTATAGAGTGATCTCCCCTTTCCAGAAATTCAATACATGAAGTAAGCAAAGATTCTTATTCCATTTCATGTACTCTTGATGTTCTATATCTATTTGTACAATATATAATTGTATCTTCCTCATCATAAAGGTATTGATTCATTATAAAAATCTGCGCACAGGATAAACTATTCATAATTTGGATTAATACTGACACTAAATCTTCATCCAGGGGGGGATCAGCTAAGAATTATTTTTGCGAGTAACTGTTTACCGTCACTTCATTTCTTATCTTAACATTCCGGCACATCAGTCTTGTCGGGACCGAACATATTTATTTCTACATTTTGCTGTTGTATTACCTGATTTACTGTCCGGATGAATATTCCTGACAAGTGTCTGATGTTTATGTCAGAAGTCTGGTATACAGACCACTTTATCTGAACAAGATTTCCTAGTCTGTATAAATGTTTTGTCAGTCAGGCCGTACAAGTGCGTCATTACTCGTCATAACTCGATATTGGCCCATCGGTCAGTGATCGTTCTGGAACAATCCTGTCAATTCTCTAGAACTAGCCTCTTACATCTTAATCAATATATCTGGGATAAATGTGTTAATGCCTTTGTCAATATGATATAACAACAGTGCATTAAACATGAGCAAAAACAACACCTGTAATTAAAACAAGTCATGAATAAAGACACAATTGTTTTTTCTTACTTTTCATACAGCAGCTAGCAGAAAACCAGTCATGTTACACATTTTTTTGCACCTATTTACAACTATACAGAACAGTGTAAACACTGTCTTTCATATTAAACCTTAATCTCCTAGAACTGAAACTGATTTCCCATTGCCACCAGTATAGAGCCAGGCCAGCTCGCACATCAATGCAGTCTTATTAGGCTCATCAATTTTACCTTAAACTTTGAATGGACTGTTCCAAATTCAAAGCAGGGAGAATGCATTTAAGGTCACATTTGTATTAGGGACTTGTTTTATTTGAATTACTGTGAATTCACTTAATTTAGTGGGTATGAAATTTCCTGGTTTTGTCACAAAGAACATTTTCATGGGTTCTTAAATTTGCAGACTGTCTATTTTTCCAAAAGGTTACCAAGTAAATGTAAATAATGTGATGCAAAATAATCTTACAGCAGACAAAATGAAATTTTGTTAGATTTTGAATTCCTGGATTGACCTATCCACAAAAACCAGGAAAAATAAAGCCCCACATATAATATTGATCTTGCAGTATGAACCATTTAACTGTATTGTTATAATTATATAGGGTTTGATTCTAAAATGTCGTATTTAGAGCAACCAGTCAGGCTGGTGTCATAGGCATGTCTTTATCACTGTTATCATTCAATGAGTTAATGCAAGATCACTGCAACCATTATGCAACATGCAGAACCTACATGCATGATTCTCAGGTAGAATGTTCCAAGAACAGGTTAATTTAGACACCAACATAGTGTTTCCGACCTATTTTGATTACCTTGTGAAACATTATGTCTAGATTTTCAATTTTTTTTTTTTTCAATTTTGCTTGTGTACTGCTAAAAAAGTTCATCTCTAGAAATAAGAGGTAACCTCTGTAAATTCAAAGCTAAAATTTCCTGTGGTTCAGTTGTTATATTATTTATCATTAACTACATGTTAATATACATATAAATAATATAATCTACAACTGTTTACAAACAGGAATAACTTTGCCAAAGTACAACCACTACTAACAAATACCTGTATAATTAGCCTGGTATGCTATTAAAAAAAATCAACACATGCTTACAACAGCTATCAGTGCCTGACATAATAGTGTAAAAGGGGTGTTTACTTTTCTGTGAAGCTTAATGGAACTGGCATGGAGTTCCAAATCTTTTGTTAAATATCTGCTACTAAAGTACATGTACGCGCATCATTAACAGTTACTTGAAAGGTCAAAAATCTTAAGAATTAATTTCTTCAATTTAGTATCAGTGCTTCTCAAAAGGGGAGTGGTGGCCTATTGGTTAAGGTTTCAGCCTCTCAATTCAGGGATCATGGGTTCGAGCCCTAATCTGGTCAAAAACATGTTTCTTCATATGACACCAGGACTGGATGGTTCACGGAAGTTGACTCAAAAGTGATTAATATAAGTTGCAAGAACTTGTATGGCAATCAAGCTTTAAACAAAACACAGAAACTTTTGTTACAATGCCATTCCTTTTAGTACTTTTGGAGATACCAACTTGCACACAAAAACTTTAACCAAAGTGTGATGCCGAAGCCTGGGTGAGTACAATAGCTCTCCCAATTCTTCTAATAGTCAAACTGAAAATAGATCTGAAATCAATCATGCTACAGCTAATTGCCTTTTATCAATGATTTAAGATTTACTTGAAAAATTGAACTTGTCCTCATGAGAAATATTTTTAAAATACAAATCTGGTTCAAGTGTTCTTACAAATAAAGGGACTGGATCCATACTCTTGCAATATCATGGTCTCTGTACTTACTTCCCTTTAATCTCTTTAATACTAATTTGATGCAATCCAAAGGAAACAACCAAAATACTGAGAGGAAATTTTGGTCAGTGGTTACTTCCCTTACCTTCAAAACTGTTGGATAGTGGTTAATTTCCCTTACCTGTCTGTTTATTGTTCAGCGACTGTAAATTTTGTGGCATATGCCTGAGGGCTAGAGCTTGTAGATGACTTTCCATGTTTTGAGCATACCTAGAAGTAATATGTCAAATTTATAGAAAAACTCTAATTTCAATTCAAAATTGAGAATCAACAAAATAACCTTCTGGAACCAAAATTTATCAAATTTTTACCACCAGTATAGAGCCAGGCCGACCAGCAAGTTTGTGCAGTATGACCAGGCTTTTTACTGTTGGTTGGTTACTAAGTTTTTGAATTTTAGTACTGAAATCCCTTTAAAATTCAAAAGGACTGTTCCAAAGTCAATGCAGGGCAAAAACCTCAGTGGAGTGCCTTTAAAATGCATCTGAACTTTATCAAACATTAACCTTTTCACTGCAATGTTTTATATTGCAGAATTATTACAGAGTAAATGGGTCTGAAATATATCAGGAATTAATCTGTCCCCTGCCAAGTTTTTACTGTATATTGAGGTTTATACTGTATATTGAGGTTTATACTGTATATTGAGGTTTATACTGTATATTGAGGTTACAGGGTATTACTCAAAACAAATATAAGAAAGAACACTAACAATTGTTTTTTTTAAGAAGAAAAACGAACTTGGACATAAAATGATTTATATTACAATATTACAAGAAAAGAATTGGAAAACCCTCAACCCTCCAAACAATTTTCAATAAGACTTTTCATATAACAAACTGGTATACCCTTTTTTGTAGGCAGTGAAAAGGATAATTTCCATAAATAAAACATACTCCCTAGCAAAATTAAGCTCCTCGTCCGAAAGTTTTGTTGCATCCTCTTTCTTTAAGGTTTCTTCTGCCTCATCTAAGATATGGTTTGTATATCGTTCAATCTGGAATGAAAACATTACTTCAATATCAATGATAAATAAATAAAAAGAAACTCCTTTATAGTGTATATCATTTCATTTATATTTATTCCACTTTTAATACAAGTATGTTAAGTTAAAATATTGTGTGATTATGTTTAGTTTATAAAATTAGTCATACACACTCGTAATACCTTAAATCAGCTTAAAAAAATTTTTTTCCAGGGACATAATTCTGACAATATGAAGGATAGATTTACAGGAAATGCATGTCAAATTTTACACAACTTATATATGATACTTGTCACTTTGCAAAACATGTAAAATTTCAAACAACTACTATGACCAAAACCAAGACAAGTAGAAGGCCTTACATTATTCTCTAAATTGAGGTGCTAAAATAAACAAAATTTATCCACATAGTTAACAGTTTTACTATAATTATTACATTAAGGTGATATCTTACCTTTTGTAATCTACACCTTAAATAACTACTTAGGATATATCTTATACGATCAATCTGGAAAAAAAAAGAATCAATTACATCAAGAGATAATATTGATCTGAGCAGTGTATATCAACTTTTTAACATCGATTTTGATGCATAAAAAATAAATTTTTCAAAATGACAGCAAAAATTATCTAAAATTTCAAAATTACACGACAGCAAAAGTACTAGTAGATAAATATCTTAAATTTCTTGTAAATTACAAATTACAAATTGCTTGTAAATTAAAATACTAAATTTTACAACTTTAATAATTAATAAAATGTGTGTTGATTTTTTTACAAAGATGGCATAGTTTTGGCAAGATTGAAAAGTGAGATATATTGAGATATTTAGTGGGAAAATGGTTGAAGTTGTTTATGATTTTACCTCCATACTATGTAGACTGACTTTAAAGTCTCCTTTCTTAGCTCGTCTAATGTTATCTTCCATCTGCGTAATCTGTTCAAGCATACATTCTACTAAATCTGATCTAGTTTCCAGTAATTCTGGAGCAAATTTTTCGTTCAGCCATGCCTACAAAAAAAGAAATTCTGGATGAAGCATTCTTTTGTAATCATTTTTTATTATTTTTTTTAATAAGAAATGACGTTCTGAACAAAAATACTTTCATTAGATCTACTTTTGTTTGTTTATTCAAAACCAGACTTTTAAGTTTCTAGAAAAATTAAAGAATTACATGAAATGTTTGGTAAAAAAAAGTTTTACTATTTGAGCATGTACCCTGCTACCAACAAATTTTAAGCCTGCATGTAGAATTTTGTTTCTGAATCATGCACTATTGTGCGTACATGTAAATAAGTATGCTAACTAGCCTAAGTCAGTAATACAGTAATACTAAGCTAGCCTTGATAAATGCATAATTCCGAGTTTTTGTGTTGAAAGATTATCAAATCAATCAATATCTGAATCTTTTAATACTTTTACAGTGATTTTCCTACTTATATAACAGACTCCGAATAAAGGCCTCTTCCCAATTGAAATTTTCTTTAAAATCATGCTGTTTTCCCAAACATCTGAACTTAAACCAGGTTTTTTACTTCCCAAAACAGCAATTTTAGCAATTTTTTTCCCAAAATCAAGAGGCTAAGGCCTCTTCCCAATTAAGTGAAAAAAATCACTGCTTTTATCCAAACAAACCATATAAAAAACATATTTTGAACCTTTCTTTAAAAATAATATTATAGTTATAAAGCGGTACAAGTCAACCCGGCCTCAAGTGAAACCGGCCACAAATTAGTCAATCCTGCCGCAAGTCAATCTGATATCTGGTCAACCCTGCCCTATTTTTATTATTAGTTATTTGCTACCAATTTTGGGGCCGGGTTGACTAATTTTGGGGCCGGATTGACTTGAGGCCTGGTTAACTTGGGGCCATGTTGACTGTTATTCATATAAAGCGTTCATGTATGTTGATCACGTTTGGGGCAACGCATTTCGTCAAAATTTAATGAACATTCATAAATTATACACTTAAAGCATCTGTCTGCATCTGTCTGCAACAAAATCCATGTTTTAAATCCTAACCCATAACCCTCTAACTCTAATCTACAACACTAACCATAGCAGTAATATGAGTGATTTTGTTGAAAAAACAGAAATATTGAAGAAATATATTAGGTAAAATCATGTGAAAAATAGATGCAGACAATTCTGATTGAAACAAATGCAGTGTTCAATCTAGAACAAATTTCAAGGGGGCCCTTCGGGCCCATAAACTTTTCAAAAGGGGGTCATTTGAGAAAAAAGGGGGCCAACAATTAAAATGAACATCAAATTCAAATAAGGTATTGTATCTTTTTAAGTTACTTGTTCACATACCATATATAGACCAAAAACGGTTGCAAAATTCCATAACAATCAACAAAAAAATGACATACAATCAACTCAACTAAAAAAATGACATTATTTGGACCTTTTATGAGAGTTCTGTTAGAGTTGATGCAGGCTCAATTTTAAGAACTGATTGGTAAAGAAACAATGACATAATGTTCAAAGAAACATATGAATCTTATTTAAATGTTACCAGGGATATTTGATAACAATGTTCAGTTTTTAAATACGCGCCCGATATATAAAGGAAAATCATATTTTGCAATTAGCTTATAAACTTACAATAGTCGCCTTCTCAATATATCCAAGCTAAACAAAGTGTCAACAGGTGCTAAGACAATGTATATTGACATACCGGTACCTTTGATCTTTTGTCAGGGCAGCAGTTCTTACGTCACGTGTAAGATGTCTGTATTGATTAATGATATGCACAATGTTTAAGCGCCGACCAACCAAAGACCAATCAAAGTTTATTTACTCAATTATCACCCCTTGCCAATCGTGTTTGATTAGCTCCATCTTTAAGACTTTTTAATTGGTTGAAGGCGTGTTTGTAATAATTTATGCACACCTCTATAATTAACTTGCACTTTTTCACAAATATATAGTTTTTTTTCCTCCGGAAAGTTATTGCATATTAATTTGTTTTGACCGTTAAAAAACTATACTTACACGCACATGACGATTTGTTTTGTTTATAAAAACTGTGACTCAAAAGTAAGTAATAGTTACGGTACGAAGAACAGGTCTGTCTGGTATTTACTGACCCGGACCGAGAGAGCGTAGCGATCAAAGTTTTAGAAGGTTTGTAACTATCTTACCAACATGCTCTTGTTTTTCTATACAAACTTCAGTTTTGAATTCAGTATTTATTAATATTATTCACAAGAAACTTTTTATGTACTTAATCAGGTTTAAGATCATTAATGGCATTTTCTAAGAGTGCGCCTGTCAGGCCCACAGTTGAATTTGTTTTGCGCCGGTGGTCTTTTCAGGGGGTCAATGGCGCAATGGCGCGCTCTAGATTGAACACTGCGAATGTGTAGACTGGTCTCCTGCTCACTTCTATTGGAACTATAATTGGACAGGGAACAAGAATAAATGGAAGCAGTGTATATAATACAGAATGGCACTTTTAAAACAGAAAATGTAAAATAAAAATTTATAATTAAACTGACTTACCCTTTCATAGGATTTGCCTAATTTCATATTACCCAAACTGTAATCTGGTTCCTAGTCCAATATATTAGACGTTACAGGCTTGTTATAGTTTATGTCGGTCAAGCCTGACGTCTAATAGTTATTGCTCAAAAACGCATAGCATCATAAAAAATTAAAAAAATGTCTTTTTTCTTGCCTTTCAAGCTTCATTCAAAAGCTTATCTTCTTTTCTTTCAATTTCATGCTCAATCATACACAAACACTCTCAAACAATGTACTAATCAATTTAAAATAAAATATAAACATCAATCTATTTTTGTCTATCAGCCATACTGGTTAAGCAATGTGCTTTACAGATTGATTCCAAATTTTTGAACGGAAAAATATATTCGAATACACTGACGGTGCATAGGCAATTATTTCGTTAAAAAAATATTCCGTTAGATTGTTCTGACTCAGTTAAACGCTTGCATTTGAATTAGCCAATCAGATTTCGCGCACTTTATGGCCGCCATTTGTTTATCGGCTGTAAAAAGAATTGAAATACATGAGAGGATTTAATCATGATTTTTCGGATGTGACAGTTTAATTATTTTGACAAAAGGTATTTCTTTTTTAGTTTTGTTCATAAATAGGTCAAAACTTATGTAAATACACGCTGTCTTCATTGCTTTTCGTTCCGCCCGATTTTCTGGCGGAACATGCTATGGGTTTTTGAGCAATTTCGATATGACGTTGCTTTGCCCAGAAGCAAAAATATCTCAAAGCGACGTCATATTTATAGGACTATCTGGTTCCCTGTCCTATTATGGTTCCCATCTACGTTCTCGGATGGGTGGATTCAATTTAGATATCATAAAATGTGTATTTAAATGATTATGAACTATGATTTAAACCTAAGTGGAGTCCCTTTAAGTTAAGATTCGGATTGCCTAAAAATTATGCTCGCAATCAAAATATGATCTGATGATCGACTCAATTATGTTTACCTCTTCCAACTTTTGAAGAACGTCAGCTGCTGTCATCGCTTCTTCGTCATCGCCACTATCATTTTCCAACCCTTCTAAAACATCAAGTGCAGATGACATTGCAACGTTTTCAGAATTATTTTTGTAAACAACCTTGCGTGAATTTTTCTTAATTACCCGCCAAAATTGTCCGTCCATAAGAATTATTACTTGTAAAAATTGTTAAAAATTATTTAAAAGTCAAATACCACTAAATTATTTCCTTCCCTGAAACGAAAATACAGCAACTCGGGTTGAATGTACGAGAAAATTTTTACTGTTTCCAGGCAGAAGAAATGATATTGATGAAAATAGTAAAATAGGGGATGCTAAAATTTTTATGAAAATGATGCAGATTCGGTTTAAATGAATATATTAACAAGTGTGGCAAAGTGAATTAAACTTTATTGTGTAAAAAATTGGCATATTCTGATTTTTATTGCTGATGGACAAATGATACTTTTATCAAGATAGATTTTAACCATGTAAAAATATATGTCTAAGACCTGAAAATAGCTGTGATTCTAAAATTGAAACAACTGTGGTTCTAAAACATTACTGAGGTTATTGGAGAAACATATAAGTGTCACTAGCTAAAGATACTTCAGCAAACAGGTTTTATAGTGCTGCTAGACCTGTTCTGTCGCAACGTCAAAATAAAAGCAACATATAAAGTTAAGGAAGCCAGAACTAAAGTGTCACATTCTATAACAACACATTTCTTTCAAGGTAATTCTTTGAAATGTTCAGCGGAATAAAGACATAATGAAAGTTACTAACTAAATTATTTGAATTATAAAGTACATTGAAGCAAAACGAAATACAGAATTAATACAACATAAAGTTTTTCCCTTTTTATTTAGTGTAACTTCATTTGACAGCTTGTTGAGTTCCGAGTATGAATCATGTATTTAATATACCCAGCATCTGTAGTTACAATGTATTACAATAAGACATATTGACGTAATGAACAACACATCCTTCCAAAACAAATGTTGAGATAAATTATTCCTCACAATTTAGAATCTCGGAGCTAAATATTAACATATAAATATTAAATATTAAGCTCCTGATGTTGTAGGGATTGCATACAGGGATATGTTACAATAAAATGATATTGGACAAGTGTTGTTATTCTATGGAAACAGATTTGCAACATCAACCATAGCCCTTTACTTCATTTATAGTTTAGTTGTGGAGTTTCTGAGTATACCTGTCTTTCTGGTGACAAAACTTAAAAATATCTGCCAATTATTGAGAAAAAATATTGATACTCTTGAATTAGACTTGGTGTACACTTATTTGGTTATGTAGATTTTTACCATATTATAAGTGCTAATTTATGTATGATTTTTAATCCACCTTCTAATAGAACTATGATTGATCTAAATAGTTTGCTTAAGAAACAATCAGTTTTGCAATAAAACGAGTTTTGCAATAATGTATTGCCAAACTCGTTGCGATGACATAATTTTGTAGCATAAAAACTAGTTTTGCAATAAATTATTATTATATCAGATTTGATATAAAGATTACAGTCTAAACATTCTAATGTTCGTCTTTTTACACAATGATTGGCATGCAGTGTTTTTGTTTGTTGTTGTTGTTTTGTTTTTTCATTAAATTTGTATATATTTGTTCATACATGTATATATGTATATCTTACTTTTTGTTTTATCTTTCTTGTAAATTTGCAAATTTTAAACATATTATAACTTCTTAAATTCATGTTCTTAGATGTTCTAATGCTTAAAACTATTATACATGTATGTTTTTAGCTAATCTATAATTCTTTTATATGTATATCTTTTCTTTGTATTACCTTGCATGTAATTGTTGTTACTTTTAAACATGCTATGGTGCTATAATTTCTAATATCCATGTACTTAGATGTGCTTATGCTTATAACGTTTTAGCTGCTTTACTTTCATGTGTTTGTCGGAAAATATCTCATGAGCAAGTGTTTTCTGTTTAAATATATCCGACGTAAAATAAATATTCTTGTATCTTGTATGTAATTACATAAGTGCGCTAAATAACTATATATATATATGTTTATAGGGTCTTTAATAGAACTGGTATATCAAAAAGATATTTGGAGATTCATTTGTTCTGAAATTGATCTGCCACATTGAATAAATATAGTGTCTTGCAACCTACGGGGAAAAAACTCGTGTCAGATTAATCTCATTTGTTAAATCTTGATTGCGTCCCTTGTTAATTTCATTGACGGCAATTCTATCCGTCTTAAAAATCATTTTTGTTGAAAATACAATATATTTGTCCAAAGTCATCAATGACTCTTTGTAGTTTATTATTTATATTAATTGATGCATAAGGAATTCAATACTTTGGAACCCAGAGTGTACTTTTCTCACAATTTTCGCAAATTTACCGGCTGTAATACTGCAGTTTAAAGGTTGTAAATGTAACAGCCAAAAAAGCTATTTTTGGAAGTGTGTATCACCTCATTTGCATATTATTTGCTGCCTTGCTCTGGATCTGGGTCAATCTGTGGCGGGTACAGGATTACTTTAATACAAGGTTTTGGTCAGATTTTGAGGTAAAAACTTTGTTTATTGATGTTATTTAGATATAAGTTAGTTCTTTTTGAAATAAGAATTGAGTTGACCTACGGTTGTCATTGAGTAAAGCGGGATGTTACCGGCGAATTTAGTGTGTAGCAAATTTATGCACGCGCAGTCTACCACTCACTACCAGAGGAAGTTGGTCTTACGATAATTTTCCGGTGTAAGGTGATAGCGCTACTGTATGAGTAATTCATAATTTTTACTACTTTGACATGGACATTTGATATAAGAATCGATCACATTTTAAAATATATAGTTACGATCGAATGCTGCATATGATTATCAATTCATAAACTGATAAATTTCTAAAGACATTTTATCTTTGTGGGTGGGGTAAAAATAGCAATAATTTTGACTTTCTTTTTTTTTGCATCATTTTCTTTTAGTTACAATGTACACAATAAAGTTATTTTATAATGAATATTCAGTCAAATGAAACAAAAGTAGTTGTTTCTGGAAGTTTCTATATGTCTATTCTCATTAATATATTACTTATTAGCTTAATTGATCCCTGTCAACTTAGGATATTTTATCTGTAATTCTAGGGTAAAACAAATAAATTTGTCAGTGATGCTACTGCGCTGTTAAGAAACATGTGTATTTCTTGTGATCACAAAAGACAATATAAGTTAGGTGTGTCAGTCTGCAATATATACAATCACATCCCATGCAATCATAACATTGGAAGTAAAAGTTGCAAGAAATCACAATAGCCTTTACACATTGAATTTTATAGACTCGCAGAAAATGGAACTGTGATTTCATGTCTACACTGTGTACTGTTGAAAAAGTGCTTTAATTTAAAATTGGGCATCCTAATCAAAAAGTCTTTTGCTCCCTATTATTTTTGCAGAGGCTTGCAGGGTTCTCTCCTCCATTTCTCCATTTTGTAAACAGTGCCATGTTTTAACTTTAGGTATAAATTATAGGATTTTTGGGAATCTGGCTACAATGTGTTAATAGATTATTAAAAATGAGTGCACACTTTTCACAATTCCTTAAGATAATCCATGCATTAAAAAATTGATTGGTAGCAGTGTGCTTGTTCATGTTTGTATGACTGAGTGGACAATAGGATGATTTTGTTTACTGAGTAGTTTTCATTGCATATTTTAAAGGTAGATAGGTATAAATTAGACTTAAAAATAAGTGATATATTTTTTTTCTTTCACTAAATTTACTTTCGTGATGATTAGTAGTCTATATAATAGATTTGGTAACAATATATTGAGTTTGCAGAAAATTATCATTCTCATGAAATATATGCTTATTACGCCACCCCAGATCTGTTTGATGGATTAATTTTGTCCACCTTTGAACAAGTTACTTAATATAATTCAAGCTGAGTGTAGTTAACTTTCATTTGATTATGCTTCAGTAAACATGAACGAGTTATGAATAAACTTGTGAAAATTCGGTTAAATAAGTTAACATTATATTGAAGCCTGAGGATGTAATCTTCATCATTTGTGTACAGTAGTGTCAATATCTTTTTTAAAGTTGAATAGGAAAAAGCGAGTGACTTAAAGTTATGTTTTCACATTATTTGACCTAAAGAAAAAAAACTATATCGGTAGTACCAAGTGAAGTATCTCATAAAATTGCAGTTCTGGATAGTAATTGTACTTGTACATTGCTCAGTCATTATAGTTGTTCCGTGGTCGAGGGGTTAGAGTCGATGACTTCTAATCCAGTTACCTCTCTGGCGTGGGTTCGATCCCCGGGAGATGCTTTGGTAGTTTAGCGCGGAGGAAGGTAGTCTAGTACTGTTGTAACTCTCCAGGAACGATGGTTAGGAAACTACCCGCCTATATGACTGAAATACTGTTGGGAAAAGGCATAAAATGAAACAAACAAACAAACAAACAAAATTACTCTTGAATTTAAAAAAAAAATATGCATGACCGATCTGAAGATTACTTTTGCTCACTGCAAATCATTTCAAAGCGTTACATACACAGGGCTCATCCGGAAGGGCGATTCAGGCGAAAACTTCGCCGTGTATATTTCCATTTCGCTCTCCCAATTGATCAAAGAGAAGTCAACATCGCCGATAAAATCTTAATTCCCAAAGACTAATTACTTGGCGATGTAAAGAGCAGAGATTGTATCCGCCCATATGACGACTGCTAATTATCATTATCCAATCAGAGCGTCGCTTTATACTACCCTTCTACCTGTATGCAAGGCGATAGACCGCCTACTCTAAACAGTAAATAATGAGAGCATCGGCCCGAAACGGGTATAAAATGTTTGTGTGACAATTTTGCGAGTTTAATACGGGATTAGGCGATAATTATAGATTGTTTACCCCGATCATCTAAACACGTGCATATCTTCCCTAATTGATATACACGCGGTGTTTAACCCGAGTAATGGCGATGTGCAATGGGTGTTTCACGGCTATAACAAAACTCTTAGTCAATTAAAAATAATCAATTTCATTAATGATCAGCGACCAGATTAAAAACCTAATCAGAGGTTTGTATGATTTCAGTCCGTTTACATGAATTAAAAATTGTTATGTCGCTCACATCATGGCTAAAGGGCGAAATGCCCAAACCTAGCAGTAAAAGA